TGCTAAGAGCACCCCCCTTTATAAGTCTCACACACATTTATTTTTTGGACAAAAGTTATGGTCAAGAAGGGTGACACTTAGAAAGTCAGAACTTGAGCTTGTTGATGCAGCATCCCTAATAGAAGCGTGTAGCCAATACCTTGCGGACCTATTGAAGACTGGCATGGGAAAATTGTCTCCAATGGATGAATGGAGTGGGGGGTTTAGATGCATAAGAAGATTTTTCTCAACAACTAGAAGTGGTTGTAAGAGACCCAATAGTGGCCAAAGTGAAAGGAAATGGGAGGCGCACAAAACATCCTTCAGAAAAGGGTACTTCACTTTGTGGTTGACGTTGCAAATTATGTAAAAAAACTAGTCATAATGCACGATCTTCTCGGTCATCACAATCAAGGTAAGTAGTATTAACCTAATTACCTTATGCACAAATTAGAAAAACTCTCCACTTCACATTATATGTATTTTCATTATTTTTTGTTAATAATGATTTCTCTTTGTGTAGCAAGAATCATGTTGAGCAGACCTATTATCCCATAATTTCAAAGAATGATATTAATGACATTGTTGCTTCCTCTAGTTGTGGTGATGGAAGCATAGTGTATGTCTATGGTTTGACGATGCATGATTGGACTATGGGAGATGACTTTTTTGCGTAGTGCCATGGTTTATATTTAATTTTTACTTACTCGGTGTTGGGTTAATGACCCAAATAGAGGATCGGCCCATTATCCCCTCATTCGGACGAACGTCTGGCCAAACAAGGCAGCCCATCGCGACAGGCGTCCAACCAGGACAACGGTGGGTCACGCCGCGGACAAGGGTCGTGGCAATGAACATCCCCACCTAAAGCTCGTAGCCATGTGATGTCCACTCCAATCTATATGACAAATTCTCCCAAGGGCCAGGATACGAACGACCCACAACCCTTGCCAGAGCCACCAGGAGCAGGCCCCAAGCCAGGGGGGCGTTCGTCTCCACAGATTAGGCGGGAAACCCAGATTCTGGCGGGGATTTGGTGGTTGGAACACCAGCCAATCACAGCTCTCCACATCAGCATGGTCAGCTGCCCACTGGTGGTATAAATAACAACATTTATTTCATTGTAAAGGGTTGACAACTTATTAGCCTTAGCACTCTAGCATACTACTCGCAACTCTTCTATCATAGCATAAGACAAACGGCCTTCGGCCTTAGCAAGTGTATTGTATCGGGGCATTATTTACCATTAATAATATCCGATCCTTTACTTATTCAACCTTCCTTGAATCCATCTCATTTGCTTGTTGGGTCAGTCAATCACTCACACTTAAACTCTCCACTCGAAATCCTTGGGCTTATGTGTTGGACCCAAGGGTTGAAGGAATAAACCTCAACACCCGGACTTTTTTTTTTACTGGATAATGTAGTATTTTTTGCCATGGATGATGTCTTACGTTGCTCGGTCATTTGTATTTTTGTACAATTCATCTTCACTAATTTGTAATATACACAATTATATGTAACATATGTTGATGCAGTATTTTGCTCATCATTCTCAAGTTTGCAACTACATTTGTAATACCGATATTGATACGACTTGTGTGTTGCTCAAAAGGTGTCTGGTGTTTAGCTTTAAAATGACCAAATCAGTGTTTAAAAGTACTTTTATGATTTACATGATTCTTAATAATCCTTATATTCCCACTAGAAGCATTTTTTTTCCTTTTCAATCTTTCTTGATGCTCTTCTAAGAGTTTTCACAACAAGTTTCACATTTTAGAGAATCATAAAATGTCCTAAATGGTTCCAAGTGAAGACTGATAACGTACAAAGTATAATTTTGTGTTTGTTCAGTGGTCGAATTAAGAATTAATCAATACAGGACTTTAACAAAACATAGACATAACCAAAAGGCACATTGCAATACTAAATATCACATTACTATATTTGCCAATAACTTATGTTGGGTTCCACTTTAAAAGTTTACATCAAGTTACATAGAACATAATCACTATCATTACATACAACTTCGATAATGCATGATAGCTTCGCTATCAGTACAGTAATGCCACCATATGCAATTACAAACTCTATATTTGTTACAAGACTTTAGTCCATATTCTCACATTTCCTCCTGGTCTGAATGAACACCATCAACTACTCGTTTAGAATCCATCTCAAAGATTATCTGCGCCCATTCCATGTTTTGCATCCAATTCATCTGGTGGCGGAGTCCCCATACCTCTGCTTCTCCCGGCGAGAGAGATGTTTTACACCATTATGACATGGCCACATAAAATTAACACTGATGGTCCCCAACGCAGCAACCCATACCGGCTCTTCCATTCTCCAAACCCATCATGAATAGCTCCCCAAAACTTTATGCTTGCTGCATCACCAATTCAGTTATATCCCACAATCCTAGATGACACCAGGCATCCTCACTCTCATTAGTTCTTCAATTTCATCATTAAGGTGCTTGCATTTAAACAATAGGTGTCACATATCATTTAATTTATTTACCTAAAATGTAAATGGAATCCATGGTATATAAATTATGAATGAGTACATAAATTATTAATTATTACTTTATTTACTAAGTTTAATTGAATTTCGTCAACCAAAATTCGCGGGATTAAAACAATTAGACCATGGTTGGAAAAAAATTAATTAACGAGAGTAGTTAGTTTTAATGTTTTGTGCTTGAGTTCAATGTTTTTATCACACACATTTAATGTAATTATCATCAATTAATTACATATACACAAGCGCCAAGCGTTCAAGGATTGCAAATTTAAAAGATATGATGTTCATTCTATAATGGTTGACAAACTAATTTTTTTGAAGATTTATTTAGCTCATTTCCGCTCTTTTGAATATTTTTACCTTACACAATCACGACTAATTAATACACATACATGTATGTATGTCTATATGTACGTGTATGTGTTTGTTATATACAACGCATGTATAATTTAATTAAATATGTTATATACGTTATATGTATGTGTGTATCAAATTTGATTTAGTCAATCAAATTCTACATTTTATTACACAACTCTCAAGGGAAGTTTCTAATGATCACCAGAAATACAAAAATTGAAACCTCACAGTCTCCTCTGAATTTTACAAGTCAAGCAATTTTTTAAAAATTGCTAAGGAAAAGGGGAGCTCTACCCTTATTCCTATGGGGCGGAGAAAATCCAGCCTAATTGAATTTCGAATATTTTCTCTAAATTTAGCGGAGAAAATCTACTTGATGCTCTGTTTTCACACGAACACTGAAGACACAAAGAACTTTACAACCCTCTTCAAAGCATTTTGTGACTTGTTTTTTTTGACAACATGTTCCATCAAACTCGGATCTTATTTGTAGAGAAGGACAATTGCGGCTTCCGGGAGGAGGACCTTGAGGCACTCCCAACCCAGTACAACTCTCCCGAAATGACCAAGGTGGGATGTTCTCAACATTTGGAAGCAGATTTGTCGAACGATGATTTCAACACTCCTCCAAGAAACCTTCCATCAGAACAAGAACTATTGAATCGGTTGGCTAAGGCCGAAATTGCTTATATTTCGAAGAGGAGGAGCACTCGCACCACATCCAAGATTGTGCACGCTCTACACTAATTTGTTAAGCTCCACAGCGTTGCATCTTTGATTTTTGATTCCTTTACTTTCCTAGTACTATTTTTTTCTTTCCTTGCATTTTACTTTTTTCTATTATCAATAAAAAAATCATTTCTGTAAAAAAATGTGTGTGTGTGTGTGTGTGTATGGTTGAGTATATATATAGGGAGCGGTTCCGGTAAGAACGGACTCTTAGGAGAGAAAAAAGAACGAATCTGGACCGTTGGATTGTATTATGTGGAACCAAATTGTGCATTTGGTGAAACTGGAATGTGCATTAAATGATATTGAAATGTGCAAAATAAAAATTTAAACTCAAGTGTGCATTAGATGAAACTGAAATGTGCGAAATAAAAGGTACAAAAATAACATCACATTGTACTTTTTATTATGCACATTTCAGTTTCACCTAGTGCACATTTCAATTTCATGTAATGCACAATTCAACTTCACATAATGCCACTGTATTGTACCCTTGTGATGCACATTTCAATTTCACCTAATGCACATTACAGTTTCATCTAATTCACACTGAATTTCACTTAAAGCAAATCTAACGGTCCAGATTCATTCTCATTTCTCTCACAAGACCGTGTTCTTATTTGAACCAAAACCTATATATATATATATATATATATATATATATATATATATATATATATATATATATATATATAATGGGGACGATGCGGGGACAGAGAGGGTGTATCAATCCCCGTCCGATCCCCCCGTCCCATATTTGTGAATCCTTTTTCCTTGGCTCTCACACATTGGTTGATTGTTCCCAAGTAAATTAAACCTGGTTGGAAATTCAACGTATGTCGACTCTCCGGCCTCTGGATATTTTTCATTTGCCTTCATGCAAGCCAAGAATTTTGTGTCTCGAAATGTGCTTTTTTCAAGAATAGATTCCATTGATTCATCCAAGTGGTAGTATATTGGTTGGTCATTTGGCAAATGAAAATTAACGTAGATGTTCCACTCGAGCTACATATGGGCTTGAGTGCTCGACGCCATCAGAGAAGTAAATTCAACCTTGTTTATTGAAATTATTTATTACATCATCCTAAACACAAAATAAAAATGTGATAACAGAGTATTTGATAATAAAAAATTGGATGATAAGATTGATAAGATCAGGACATAAGTTTCCAACAAACTGTTAAGTTCATTTGTCATCCGTGCAACACATGAGTCAATTGAGTAATAATAATAATAATAATTTTGATTAATAATAAAATAATTGAGTAGTAATAATAATTGAGTAGTAACAGCAATTACCTAATAATAATAATTGAATAGTAGTAATAACAATATAATACCATTAATATAATATAAATACTTAATCGTATTTGGGATTTGCATTCCTAGTTGAAATAAATTCGGAAAGTAATTAGACAAGAAATGTAGGAATCACTCGTTTCACTATTTCTGTATTTCAGGCTTAAAAGTATGTCGCATAGGTTTAAAATTAGTACGGATATATGCTGGGAAGCCCAATACTCGGTAAAATCAAAGTCACGGTTTTAGAAAAACCCTAGACTCAGGGAAGTTAAGGAATTATTTCAGACGCACTAGCAATTCCAAGTCACGCAAAACAATGGCTTCTGATTCTATGGACGGAATGAAACTGAGGATTTCTGAGCTTCTGAAAAAGGTCCAGCTCGATTACTCTCCAGCAAACACCAAAATTATCAATGACGTCGTTTCCTTCATCAAAGAGGCTATCGACAAAATCCCTGAGGACAAGGTTTTTTTTACTATCTGATTTGAGTAATCAGTCTTATCTTACGGAAGCCCGCAAAATGTCAATTTCGTTTGTTTTTGTTTCCTTAATACTTGGTATTTGATTTTCTGGAAATTACTTGCAGGTTACTGCTGAGCTAGCTCCCGGGTTCATTAGAGACATTAATGCTGATAAGGTTGAATTTGTGTTTAAGAAGCCAGTGTCGATAGAAATTGGTGGTAGTTACTCAATGCAATGTGTTGTGAAACCTGACATTAATGTGGATCTTTTACTTCGCTTGCCAAAGGTATGCTATATCTGGGGATATATTTGGAAAAGGACGTTCTTTTGTAGAATTTCTTGTTCTACAATATTATGTTTGCATGATTTTTTGTAAATGTGTTTTTTCCAAATGCAGTATGACAACTTCATTTGTGTTGCTCAGTTGTTCCTTTATGTCGTTGGACAAATCATCTTCCCGCACTCTCATTCCACAATCAGCTGAATTTGTCACCCTGGTCTCAAAATGGAGAAATGCATATGATACTGCATTAGTGTGGTTAATATATCTCAATGACAATAAAGTGCATGTTCTGTTTAAGAGATACTGCCATTTTAAGAAATATTTTTTACCTTGCAATTAGCTAAAACTTCCACCTAAAAGAAATCCCCCCCAACTGATTCACAGCAGGTTAGGGCTTTCATAGAGCCTTCCAATGTTTTCAGTGGTGTATCCATGAGTGGGGGCGAGTTTACACTAGAGCTTAATCACATATTCATAAATAGCGGATCACATTATTAATATTTTTTTATTAGGCTTAGTTTAAATAATAAATGTACAAATATGTATAAATAGAAGATCAATTTAAATTATATGTGTGCAAAGGTGAAATTGTTGATAAATTTTGAGAAAATTATCTAAACAAAAGTTAAACATAACTAAGTTTAGTGAAACTTTTATCTTTTTATTCTTTTAATGAGATTACATAAATCCTATATTTAGGTAAGAAAACACTCCTAATCCTATTTTAGATTTTTTCGTATGTTTAACTCGTATTTTGAGCAATTTCTCTAAAATTTTAAGTTATATATATAGGGGACGGGTTGGGGTTGGGGGCAGGGGGGTGGAGCTTCCCCCCACGTCCCCCATAGTGGACAAACCACTGACTGTTTTGCTTTCCTTAAAGTACTGTATTCCTAGATTTACAGTTGCAATGTGATTTGGGTTGCGTAACTTACATTTAACTGTGGTGTCAAATTACTGCACTTGATGTATGTGGGGTAAAGGTGGCTCATTCAGATTTTCATTTTAATTTTTGGAAACTTATATTTAAATAAGTCTTAAAACCCAGTGGTACCTTGCTTTATTATCTGCTTATTTTTCACGTCTGTTAATTAACTAGTACATGTTTCTGATGTCCTTTTTATCAGGAGTGCTTTCATGAAAAAGACTACTTGAACCATCGGTACCATGCCAAACGATACCTTTATCTTTGCAAAATAAAGAAGCATCTGAATGTTTTTCCACAATTTGAAAACTTGAGTTGGTCTTCCTTTCAAAATGAGGCTCGGAAACCAATACTGGTATTCTGCCCAGGTTTTCATTCTATGCTTTGACCATTATTTACTTCACTGAGTATTGGTTTTTTGTTGTACATATTGTTGCTATTGATATTATCTACTTTTCTGTATTTCAATTTCTTTAACCAAGAGAGAAGTTCTTGCATTTTATAGCTGCAAAGCTAGTTCGGGATACTGGATTCGTCGTAAGGATAATTCCCATGGCAACATCTTTGTTCAATCCATCGAAGCTTCGGCTGGAGCGGAACAATATTCGTTCTCTAAATCAAGGTTGGTAGTAGTTTTCGTGTGATGCTTTGTGCTATATGTTACTTTCATACTTATTATGCGTGTGATATTTCCCATCAGGAGGTATTTTGCAGGCTACACCAAAGTACAACAGTAGCATATTGGAGGACTTGTTCATGGAGTCTAATGCTGCGTTCATCAAGAACACGTTTTCTGAATGGACGGAATTGAAAGATGCTCTAACACTACTTAAAGTATGGAAACCTATTTCGGGGTGAATGGGTGATGTGCTCATGTGCTCTTAATTATGAACTTGCTACTTATATAGAGATCTTATCATAACCATCATGGTGTAGGTCTGGGCTCGCCAAAGGAGTTCAATATATGCCCATGATTGTTTAAACGGATTCCTAATTTCGGTTATAATGTCCTTCCTTGCAAAAAAAACCGGTACCAACAGTATTAAGAATATAATGAGTTCAGTGCAAATATTTCGTGTCACCCTGGAGTTCATTGGTATGTATATAACTACTTCATCCATTTCTGTTCTGTATTTATTATTTCCTCCCAATTTCTCAATATAATGATTTATGGTAATAAGCACATGCACTACGTTTGTGTAATACAGTTAGCAGTGTAGATTCTCCCTGATGTATCATCCCCACCCCCACCCCAATTTTTTCTATAAGGATGGGATTATGGGAAACAATTAATAAATTTGCGGTTAAGCGTACTGTATTAATTTTGGATCTTGTTGAAGCTTCACTCATGTGAGCCGAGTAGCCGATCCCAAACTCTTTTGGGACTAAGGCTTGAATGTTGTTTTTGTTGTTGTTGAAGCTTCACTCATATCCACTTTGCCACTGTAAGCTTTAACATGGAGTAAAGAATCACCAGTTTTTGCTTTACTGATTCCCCTTGTGTTCAATGCAGCAAATTCTAAGGTTTGGGATAAGGGACTTTTATTTAATGCAGTAGGCGAAAACAATGGGTCAACCAAGGTGTGTTATCACCAAATTAATGCTCACTATGTTTTTTCAGCAATGTCCCCACATGAGTGCTTTTGATCATCATATAGTCCCTCTGTTTTCTATCACTTGATGTTTTATGATATAACACAAGAATCAAGAAGAAATACAATGACTCATTTTCTTGATCCAATCCCCCTTTTGCAGATTTGGGAGTATCAAAAGATTTAAAATAGTAAAGACATTTATTGGGAGCATCAAAATAATCAAATAATTGGTACAATAAATGTGTTAGAGACTTGATACATAATCAAATAATTTGTACAAGGAATGTGTCAGTAACACATAATAAGATCAAATCCTCAAACTCTTCTCCTTGCCATTGAGTTTTCTTTAAACATGAACAAAGTAAAAAGAAGGGAAAAGGCTAAAAAATCAAGTAAATAAAATAGATGCAGTGTTATAGCTGTTTTTCATATTAACAATCTGTGAGATGTTTTTATTAGTGTTCATGATGAGATTCATCTCTTGACGGAATTTCAGGACACAAGGGTATACTTTGAACAGTTTCCTGTGGTTATTTGCAATGCGTATTCAGAGTTCAATCTAGCATTCCGTCTGTCACAGAGTGGTTTTCAAGAGGTAATCTATTCCTGTGCATTCTATCATGTGATTGTAAATGTACCTATATCTTTATACCATGGATTTTTTAGCATTTTAATTAGCTAGTATCCTTAAGTAGACTTGTTTTATCTCCTTTCCTTGCTACCCTGGAGGTCCTAAGTGTTTCATTCTCATTCTCTCACCCGAAAGATGAACCAAGGCCCCAAGGGTAATAAAGAATAAATAACTAATTGGTGAAAGTTAAAGTGGAAGAATTAGAATGAATTGAATCACACATTAACATACCTATACTGATTTGCTACCTATGGTATTATTATTTTAATGCAAAGTCATCTAAAAAGTTAAGATGATGAAATGGTTAAATCAGTATCACTAAAATGGCTAAAATCCTCCATCAGTTGTGGTTTCGTCAAAACAGCATCTTTAGGTGTCCATTTATGTTGCTAATTAGCGTACTTTAGTGGTCATGCATTAACTAGATATTGTGATTGTTTTGTATTCAGCTCCGGAATGAGGCTGCATTGGCACTTACTTGCATTAGAAAGTGTAGAGATGGTGGATTTGATGAGCTTTTTATGACAAGGGTCGATTTTCCTGCTAAGTATGACTATTGCTTAAGGTATATTTTTTAAGGGAGTAATATATTGTTACTATTCAAGGTTTATGTATGAAAACTCATTGCCACTTTCAACTCCTCTAGATTGAGTCTGAGAGGACACAATGATATTTACAATTTGGGATTTTGTTTGGATGATGAATGTTGGAGATCATATGAGAGCAAGGTGTTGTCTGTGTTGAATCAAGGGTTGACAGACAGATCTAAGCTCGTTCGTTCTATTTGGAGAAATACGGCATCTGGATTCGATTATGAGGAGGTATTTATCCACAATGTCATAGATTCTGAATTGTCCCCAATTTTGAGGACATAGCCCGTCATAAATTTTGTGTTTGTGTGTGAAAATATTGTACTTTTGAGAATTACTTTTAGGGACTTTCAAAATTGGATGGAGAACCATTGCTTATTGGGATTTCAGTAAGTTCTGTAGATGCAGCCTTTAAAAAGGCCATCATTGGCCCTAGTCACGAAGAAGAAGATAAGGTACATACTGATAACACAGCTTTTCCATTTTGACACAGAAACAACTTTTCCTTGGTAATTATTTTTCCCTTTGGCTAGCATTTTAAATATACGCTTTAAAAGCAATTATTCTTTTGTGATGTTCATATTAGGCTATGGAGTTCAGAAAATTTTGGGGTGACAAGGCAACACTTAGACAGTTCCGTGACAGTAGAATTGCTGAAGTCGCAGGTATGGTGGTTATAATGATTGTTATTAATCTTTCTATTTTATTTTTTTTTAAATTTTATGATAACACGCATCATGCTATATATCCAGTATGGGAGTGTAAAGAGTGGGAGAAGCATCTCCTTTTGCCAGATATAGTTGAGTATATTTTATCACGCCATTTATCTATCACCAGAGAGAAGATCATTCCCATTGCCAGTCAACTCGATTTCGCTCTTCTCCAGAAGGATATAGGTATGGCTTTTAAGCGCTTTGTAATTTTTCAATCTTCTGTTGTCCTTATCTTGAAGAATGCTGAGAGATTGGAACAAGTGTACAATTTTCAGATCCTATCTCTTTCTCATCTGCTCTTTTGGGAGCATTTGAAGAGCTATCAAAGCGTTTGCGTCAACTGAATGATATTCCATTGAAGGTGACAAGTGTTCAAGCTATTGACCCAGGTTTGTTTCCCATGCTTTGGCATCGCAACTCTGTTATTTATGCCATCCATCTCCCTTTCTCCAATTATTATTAAAGGGGTAAAGACACATGCCAAAACAACATGTTCAATCATAAATTCTGCAAATCATGGTTTAGTAGCAGGCCTGCTTAGATAGTCAATTATCGGCTCCTTAGTATACGTATCCTTCTATTTAACAGGAGTTATATGTTGGTTACCTGTGTATCTTGACTATCTTCCTTACAAAGGGAATGATGGGGGGGTCCAAGTATAGGGGCATTTGTTATCGTGGCATGTATTTAAATCATCTTTCACCAATCGATTTTCATTGTAAAACCCAACCAAACATACCCAATATGTCCCACTTTAAAGGTAAAGTCTGGCACTCTGGGGAAGGTGAGATGTACGCTTATATTACAAGTATCCATGGGAGAGAGGCTGTTTCTGTGCAGAACTCAGGCAATAGGGAAAATTGAGATGTTATTGAAGATGCTAAAATTTGAAAATTCTTCAATATTTTCAAGAATTTCAACTTTTTTTAGATGTACAGAAAATACATCCAAGGATGAAGTTAGTGTGAATATTGGGGGTAACCGGTGAACAAACACATGGAATGTGATCAGACTTACTTTAGACCTCCCTTACTTTCCATGGAAAGTCAATGACAAAGTGAAGTGGGAAGTCTATTCCCATGCAAAGTGAATTGAATTCTACATTGACATTATTTCCATGTATTTGTTTTTTTTGTTTCTTGAATCTACATTTTTATTAAAAATATTACTTTGTATTCTTTTTAACCATTTGTACAACCCATTTTGTATTTCTTTCACATTTCTCCATAATTTATATGTCTAGCACTCTAGCCATTTCTTGAAGGGGGGCCTGTGAGAAGAGCTAGGAAAGAGGTTTTGACAAAAATAACACTAATGGAGAAGTTAAAGACAAAAATAATATTAGATTTGAAAAATTCCAAAAAAGAGACTAAAGTCTGCCATTGAATCTGCGATTCATAGAGGGAATCAAGTGCACTATTTAGAAGTATCGCTTGTAGCGCAAGGCGCAACAAGCGCTCGCCTGACTCGGGTCAAGTGCATATTCTAGAATGATCAAATATGACATATTCAACATCATATTGAACTAAATGCATCAAAAAGTCATGCTTCTAAAAAAATAAAGTCACGAATCACCAAAATAAAGTCATTGTTCACTAAAAAACAAGTGGGGTCTGTCTTTGTTGATTTTGGAATTTTAGCATTACGAATAGCATAAATTATACTCCCTCCGTCCCACTAACAATGGGACAAGAGGGAGTGGCACGCAAACTACTAAAAAGTGAGTTATGTGGTTGATATTGAATTGATAAAGTAAGAATAATTTGGAGCCACACAAATTTTGCCTAATTTGGTATGGGATACTCTTAGTGGGACAGACCGAAAAGGTAAAATGGGACAATCTTAGCGGGACGGAGGTAGTATAGTGTATGAAACTATCAAGTGAGTTAGATTGTATGAAGTTTTTATACAGTTAAAATTTGAAATGATAATAGGAAGATATAGACTTATAGACTGTATAATAAGATAAAATAATATAGAGTACATATAATTTAAACTGGTAGTCAGGTACATATACTATGTTTGAGTTGTATAGAATATATTAGGTTAGAAGCAAAAAGAACTATAAAGTATGCATAGATGACTGGAACTGATAAAAGTAATGAAAGAAGATAGACTGAAAGAATAAAAAATGAAAGGATCACCAAGATGATGACATAATAAATGAAAACTACAAGCTGAAAAAGAAAGAAGAAAGAACATGGGAAGATGATGATGAAGAAGACACCTTGTGGGTTTCTGGCTTCTGTGGGTTCGTTGAATGTGTTTCAGTGCTGAGCATGTTGCACAAGTAGAGCACATAGCAGCGTAGGAGATTCACGATGAAGTCAAGACTCAAGATAGAAGACTTTTCCAACGACTAAGAGGGGTTTATATGGGTTTAAGTTGTTTTTACCTATTATTTGGACGGGCTAAATCTTATTATCAGTATGGGCTGATTATTTAAAGTAGGATCAAACAAAGAAATAGGCTGATAAGCCTTTCCCACCCCAGGTAATTTAAGCGTGCGCTTTTCTCAGCTTCTGCGCCTAAACTGCGCTTTAGACAGGGAGCTGCGCCTGGCCATTCTTCAGTCGCTAAACCTCATTTGCGCTGCGTCTGGTGCGCTTAAGCGCCCAGGCGCTCGCTTTTGACAACCTTGAGTAGTATTATTTTTGTCATTATTCCCACATATAGGAAATAGATGAAAAAAGCTGCAATTATATGTTATAGCTCTCTTAGCCTCTTAGGTGCATATGCATGTTATCAGACAGAATGTCTTGATTTATACTGTGTAATACAAATGTCTTTAAATTTTCCATGTATAGTACTTACAATTTAGCAACAGTTTTCAGGCAGACTTCTGTCTACCCCCCTGGACCCCACCCTCTGGCATTTGAGAAGTCCATCAACACGAAACTGCAGATACCTATTTCTACTTGTTTACAACCACTGGAAGTTGCAATCCAGGTATGGCAGATCTTCTTTGCCTCCCTTTTTATTCATGTGGTCTTTTTCTTCACTGTCTTCACTGCATTGTTAATAGCTAGAAGGCTCAGGAAATTGGCCACTGGATGAAGTTGCAATGGAGAAGACAAAATCAGCATTTCTTCTCCAGATTGGGGAAAGGTTGGTCTTTTGTTTTAAAAGGAATTTCCTTGAAATGGCTGTGATTTGAAATAGGAATTAACTTCTCCCATTACAATGCCCATATGTCAGTCTTCAGAACAATTGGGGGTTGACTTGTACAGCAACCGAGGATGATGTAGAAGTTCTTATGTCTGGATTTGCATTCCGCCTTAAAGTATTGCACGAGAGAGCTTTGAATTTTGTAAATGGACAACGTATGTTGCTTTTCTTGATTGACATGGTTTGAATTTAATTATTTTAAAGATTAGTAAAAAACATGCTATTTTGTATTCATTTTTTTTATTTTTTATATGTAGTTAATTATAGTCAAGCAAAGTGGGTTCTCCCCACAGATAAAAAACTTCTCCTACGATACATTCATGCTGGAAAGACTGATGGGTTGCGAGGTCGTTATCCAATTTATGGGCCAGTTGTTCGGTGAGAAAATTTTACTCAATATTTGTACAGCTCCCTCTCCTTTTTTCTTTTTAAAGGCTTATATTTTTACTATTCTCTGTAGGCTGGCAAAACGATGGGTATCTGCTCATTTCCTTTCGACCTTGTTGGCAGAAGAGGCCATTGAGTTGTTGGTTGCATTTACTTTTCTCAGTCCTTTTCCATTTGATCCTCCTTGCTCTCGCATAACAGGATTTCTAAGGTTGACATCCACTATTTAGGTGCATTAAGCTTACTGATTTATATTATATTATTGTGTGTGTGTCTCATTCTCTCTTGAAAATATACTACATAACTTTTATGTACATTTTTGTATCTCTGTGTGTTTGTGTATCCATGTATATTGCGTACTTTTGTTTATTTTAACTTGCTCCACTAGTTTTTCCACAAAGTCTAAGAATAAACATACAGCCTTACATGGGCCATGCATAGTGTTGAAGAAGTGAACAATTAGACGATAAAAAAGTTGGAATTAAGATGAAAACAAGGGCATTTATGTCACTTGGTACATTTGTAATTGCCAAAAAAGTGGTGCAAGAAAAAATAAACGGATGGAGTGCCTATGTGAAAGTTTCTCTCTCGCACTTCTAAGTTTGATATGTTGCAACTTGCACGTTGGTCACAGTTAATATCAAAGCTTTATCTGAAACAGGTTCCTAAGATTACTGTCAGAGCATGATTGGATGTTTTCCCCTCTAGTCGTTGATTTTAATGGTGTTTCTACCAATGAGGAAGTGACTCAAGGGAGTGATTTTACAGCTGAGGATATGAAGAAAATTAATGCAAGTAAACCTTCCCTTCCGTATTTTGTTCCTGTTTTGCATTAACAGTTCTTCATAACCTTAGTTTACGTGCACACCAATATTACTCTCAGGTGGCTTTTAAACAAAGCAGAGAGGGATCACAAACAAATGTGCATGATGCAAGACCGTCAATGTTCTTGGCCACTAAATATGACCTTATGTCTGAGGCTTGGACCATATCATCACCGACAGTGACAGTAAGAATAGTACTTGTATAAAGTCAACATTCCATATTGTTACATGTGTTGAATTAGATCTTATTTTAATCTGAAGGGATATTTGCTTTCCTTTATATGCATTGCTTTTGTTTGAAGTGCTAAAAGGTCATATATTGCATTTATAGTCATCTAGGCATGCAGTTTTAGTCAATTAGTCTCATTAATTGTTTCAAATAAAAGAGGGTTGTTTAGTATGCGTGAAATGAAATTTCACATGAAGTGTAGGGTTGAAAAGAGTTTAAGCCGTTGGGTTTGACTTAATTTAAAATGTTGTGTATATTTCTACTGCCTCTGTTTAAATTTGAGAGAAAATGAAGAAGTAGAAAAAGTAGGTGAGAGAATGCTTGAAAGAACATTTATGTCTCTTGATACTTGATAGATGTGTAATTGCGAAAACATGAAAGAGGACCACTTGGTAAAATAATTCCATTAGTGGAGTGCGTAAATATAAATGGAGAATTACAAGCAGATATACAATGTATAGCAGAAATGTTTTACAAGGGAACGGTCACAAAATACTATGCACAGCAGAAGTTAAGCATCAAAATAACCAAACAGTGCGATGTAATTTTACATGCAAAGTGATTGTATTCCCTACACTTTGCACATGAAATTTTAACGAGCAAACGGATAAATGTTCCTTTTAACATCTCATGTTGCCCTTAGTTGCGATTTCCGTTCTATACAAACTGTGTCAGCCTCAACTACATAGGGATAAAATTGCTACAGGAATGGGACCTAAAACCGCTACCAGGGATACGACTAGAGTTGATTTTTTTTGCAAAAGTTAATGACACTGGGACTAAAAATGAGACAGTTTCACAGTTTAGGGGCTTAAAGAGTAATAACCCCCTGAGGTGTCTCGCCGCAGCCATTATTTAAAAAATGCGAATATTTGAGATATGATGTTAACCCATATGCTTTTATTTACAAGGAGCTTAAGAGATTGGTGGCATATGCAACTAGTAGCGCAAACTTGTTGACCAAACTGATTTTGCAAGATGATTATGATTCTTACGGATGGAAAGTGAGCAATATATCTGCATCTTCCTCTATATATGATTTGAGATGTTCTGAAGTGAATATAGACTTATAATAGTGTTATTTTCTGACTCACAGTGCCTTTTCCGCACACCTTTAAACAAGTATGATGCTGTTGTCCTTCTACACAGAGACAAATTACCCTACCCACACCATCTTCTTTTCCCCTCTGAAATGGAACAAGGTTTTTCTTCTTTTTATCTTTTTCCCTCATGTTGATAATGTTTGGTGAAAAGTTGATTCAGGCTTTTGATCCTATGAATCAGAATTTGTAGTGTGGAAGATTGACTAATTTAAAGGTGTTTGGGTTGGGTTCTGTTTGAATTATTTAACAGAGCTACTTTTGTAGATGTTGGTATGATTCTGAAATAAACTAATTTAAAACATAATGATGATTATAACGAGTCTTTAGGATCCTAGGTCAAGATGGTATGATAAATAAATAAATAATTTCACCATCCCATTATCACATGTTGAAATTCTGTGAAACGCCTAAGAATCAGATTCTTCATCATAAAGGCGATGTTTGGATACCGGAAAGCGCTATAGAAAGGAAAATTACTTTCTTGTGTTTGGGTTTACCTCAAAAAATGCAAAGGAAAATGGGAAATGATTACTGCTTTCTAATATTTTAAATTTGTTATGATTGATTAGTATTTATGTACTTCGTATCAAATAAAGTAAATATACAAAACCCTATTCAAACAAATATTAAAATTGCATTCATTGGGTTTGAAAGAATGTTTCATTTCCGTAACATTTCCTTTCTTGCTAAATTTCTTCTATATTCTCCGCATTTGCTTTTCCTAGCATTTTCCGCATTCCAAAACGCCTTTTCAAAAGCAAAAAAAAACACGCATAATATTGCATTGTTTAATAAGTACAGAGTATGATATAATAGTTGCTATATTTTAGGGCAATGTGTGGTGCGTGGCAAGCCAACAAAGATATTCGATCCTTTCTTTCATCCCACAAACCTCAGAGGGAGCTACAAGGAATTGAAATCTAAACTGATGGTTAACTTTGATCCGCTCAAATGCTTTATTACTGAAATTGAGGTATCAGATAAGCCTTGATTTATCTATGTTTGACATTTTCCCTTTTCGACTCCAAGTTGTTCATATGCTCTCTCTTTCTGCAGAGAGAATTGCCAGACACATTTAAGATTTGGTACGACTCGTTGGGAGGTGATGCCATTGGTCTCACTTGGGGAAAAGTTATTTCAAAGGTATGCATAATATTAACAGCGGGAATGTATTATTTGGTCATTTATTTATTTCGACATCATTTCCCGCTGTATATAACTCATCTGACTATTAGAAGAGTAGGACTAGACGAAAATACTCATTTCCACTTTTGAATAATGTCCCACGTCTCTCTGAAAACAAAAGTTATAATACCCCAGAGTATGTTTTAAATGACATGCAAAAGCCGAATTAAAGTTCTCTGCTAAGCCACATTACTTTATTATTATAAAAATTGTTGTTATTATTACTACTATATTATTAGTACTATTTTATAATTGAGGTTGACAGAGACTGAAAAGAAAACAGTGTAGAATTATACTTCGAATGGATAAACAATAATAAGAAAAAAATTGTTTGGACTTAAAAGCCTAAAACAAAGCGCATATTTTCATGGATGAGAAACATATTTAGTCCTAAATTAACGTGCACGGTGTTTGTTAGTGTTTAATCAATAGTTTGAGATCATGTAGTTTCACAACCTATAACCCTCATTTGCATTCCAGAAAAGGAGAAGTGATTCCATGGACGAGGGTGAAGATATGCTGAATATACTGAGAACAGTGGGTGAAGTTGGGAAAGGCTTTGTAAGAAGCATTCATTGTCTTAAAGCCCCAAAAATAAGTCAATGAGTTATTTCCTGTTGTAGGAGATCTTGCTGATCAATACGTAGTGTCATTATCTAATGGCAATATATGTTAAGTATAAGGTACGACAGATAGTTGCAGCATTATGGGCCCTATGGCAAAACTCTGTATATAACTTAACTGTTTTTTGTACTCCATATATTCAACAACTATCAACAGATAAGTGTATACAGTTGATTCCGTTCTTTTAAAAAAATATGCTACAAGAAATTTCATTTCCCATGTTTTTAAAGATGCTTAGAGCATCTCTAATCCTAACTTTGACATTCATAAATTTATGCCACGTTGCAAAATTTGGGAAAGTGATATTAAAAAAACTTCTCCAATGCATTCTTTGATTCATGGTGTCATACGTACGTGTCAAAGTGTTGAACCTAGTGGTGGACTCGGGCCGGTTCGGGCCTAGGCCCGACCGGGCCGCTAGTTAGGAAATGTTGTGGCCGGGACCGGCCCGGGTAGGGGTGGATTTGGGTCGGGCCACCCGGCCCGTGGACCGGCTTGGCCCGCTATTTTGTGGGACCGGGACCGGCCCGGTTCTCGAGTCTGAGTCCGGGTCGGGCCTAGGCCCGGGGGGGGGGGGGGGTCTGGGCTCGGGTCTTACATTTGGCAAACTGGCCCGGGCCAAATTGTTTTTTTTTTTCCCCATTTTTTGGGGTCCCACCCGGGTTGGGCTTGATGGTTAGGAGGGGTTTGGGGGGGTGAGGGGGGGGGGGGGGGGGAGGGTTAGGAAAGCAAAAAAAAAAGAAAAGAAAAAATAACCAAACCGGATGTTCGGCCCGGCCCAAACCGGACCTGGTGGCTACCCGGGCCGGTCCCGGGTCCACCAATTCTGAACCGCCGGCCCGCCTGGACCTGGCCCGGCCCGAGTCTAGGCCTGGGTAGCCACCGGGTCCGGGCCTCGGGCCTCTTACATTTTTTTTTTCCTTTTTCTAATTTTCTAATTACCCCTTGACCCACCCCCAGGCCCCAACTCCCAAACCACCCCAAATGGCTCAAAATACCCAACCCAGGGATTTAAAAAAAAGTTGAAACAAAAAACAAAATAAGCCCCGGAACTGGGCTCGGACCGGCCAGGTTGGTTCATGTTTTGGGTGACCCAAGCCCAGATCGGAAATTCCTCGGGTCGGGCCTACCTGGACCGGTCACTGGCCCGGCCACCTGTTCGGGCTGGGCTGGAACAGTGCCGGCCCCGGGCCGGTTCCGGGTCGGGCCACCCGACCCGAGTCCACCACTAGTTGAATCCGCTTTCTCATTCTCGAAAGCCATTTACACAGGCTGAGTCAGCCAATTAAAGAGGTATCGTACAAAATTCAGGCTTAAAACTTGGAATTTGGTCAAAATATGGGTGGTTTACACAAAAATGGATTTAATGCTTTTGTAATTCACCGTCTGCAAATTAGAATAAATGAACTTGCAAGATGTTATCTACCATCAATTATTTTCTCGAGAGAAGTTACGTTGATGTCAAATTGGAAACTAGCAGAGTATGTAATACTGGTGTATATCTTCTTTCTTTTTAATTTATGTATGTTAAATTAAACCTGTAAGAAATTATCATGCTATCAATGAATTTTGCGAGTAGAACCAATGACTTCGTTTATCAGAGAAGATGAATTAATAAGTAGGTAGCAAAAGTGAAGTTTGCCAATACAGCTTCTTTCATTTTAATTTATTTATATTGAATTTGTATTAAATAAATGCCATATGAGGATATACGGTTGGAATATGACGTTTATGGGTGGACTCGGGCCGGTTTGGGCCCGACCGGGCCTCGGTTCATGAAAGGGGAGGCCCGGAACCGGCCCGGGTAACCCCGGGTCTGGGTCGGGCCGGGCCGCGGTTCTATTTAATTTTTTTTGGGCTTTTCCTAATTAACCCCCTCACCCCCAAACCACCCCAAATGGTCCAAAATACCCAGCCCAACCCCAAAACTTAAAAAAAATTCAAAAAAAATAAACAAAGAAAAAAAAAATTGGCCCGGACCAGGCCCGAACTGGCCGGGCCGGTTCACCTTTTGAGGGGCCCGAGCCCGGCTCGGAACCCCAGCGGGTCGGGCCTACCCGGACCGGTCCCTGGCCGGGCCGGCGGTTCGGGCCGGTTCAAACACTGAGCGGGTCGGGCCGGTTCCGGGGCGGGCCGCTCGGCCCGAGTCCACCCCTAATGACGTTACGTTCCCTTTATGCGTTGGAGAAGGTTTTAAACTTTCACTTTGGTAGGTTTCAACGTTTACCTTAGATGGAATGACATTCCATACATTTTTTGCCATGTGTCAAGTATTTGTTAATTTCAAAAGCTTAGCATTGGAGATGCTCTTAGTGTCTATTAACGAGTACGTCATATATATAACTTAATATATATAACTGCAATACAATTTAAGTTTCCATGTGTGATAAAAACTTAGCCAGGGCCGGTCGTGGAAAATTAGAGACCCGGTGCGACAAAAAAAGTGGGCCTTTCTTGACAACACTAAGAGAAATAGAACATAAATAATAATTGTAATAGTAATAAATTACCGTAAATTGCTGTTAAAATTCAAGTTAATTTTGAACATAATAGCAAAAACAAATGTATTCAATAAAAATAATTTAATTTTTACTTTATAACTTTAACCCACCACCTAAAAAGTAATAAGAAATAACAATTTTTACATTTACACCAAATTATTAAACATGACTAGTTTAAATAATTCATCAATTAATTACACAAAATAAAAAACAACAACCACAATACCTAATTTGTTAAATTCTATATGGAATAATAGATTACTAGATTGGGAGGCCTAAGTAAACAATAAATAATCTACTCTACTAATAGTCCAAAGTTCCGAACATATAAGAAAAACAATTAAAACAGCCTAAATGTCTAATAGATGTATAGAACTTACCGGCGGACAGAGGAGATTCGAGACTGGGGGCGTGCTGGTTGTGGACAGCTGCTGCAGAGTGCTGAACCGGTGGAGAGAGGACTGCCCGAGGTGTGGACGTGCGGTGCTGGACGGTGGACGCCCGGAGCCCTGGACCTTGAAGAATTGCTGGCGTGATGACTGGCTAGCATATAGTAGTACTACGTATTTTATATTGTGCAATTCGTACATGGGTTTCTTTGAAGTGTTCACCACCAATCGGTTTAATATTTAAATCCGTTGTGCAATGTGCATGAGTGCAATGCATCTAGGGGTGGATTTGGGTCGGGCTGCCCGGCCCGGTACCCGGTCTTGGGGTCGGTTCGGGCCAACCGGAACCGCTCTAATCCCGGTGTGGGCTCAGCCCCCCTAAAATGCGAACCGGCCCCACCGGTCCGGGCCCAGTTCAGGCCTAATTTTTTTTTTCACTTTTTTTGTTTCTATTGGGTTGGGCTAGGTGTTTTGTGGGGTGGGGGGTGAAGGGGGTCGGGGGTTATTTAGAAAATCAAAAGAAAAAAAAAAATAACATTGAACCGGAACCGGCCCGGCCCGAACTGGAAACCCCGGCTACCCGGGTCGGTTCCGGTCCCACCATTCCCAAAAAAAAACGGAACCGGTCCGGGTCCATCCCTAAGTGCATCGGTTGTTTCAGACTTCAGTCTATAATGTTTAGTTTTTGAGAAGTAATTTTTGGATAACAACGTTATGTTGAGTATAGAAACGACTTCGTATTACAAAGAATTATATGGTGCGTTTGTTAACTTCGTTTTTTTAGAACTAGTATCTTTTGCACATATTTTGAGAACTTCTAAAAGATGAATCATTTTAGAAATAATAAGATAAGACATTAAGACATACAAATAGAGTTATAAATGAACCGAATCGAGTCGAATAATGAGATTTTGTATTTGTATTTGTTTAATTTTTTTGAATACGATTTCGAATTCAAATATGAAACGAATATTAATTTTGATTTGTATTTGTATTTGTTTAACAATATGAATAGTTAACGAATCATATGCGAATATCGAATCGATTTGAACATAGGTTAAAGATTAGTCAAATACTCACTCCGTTCCTAAAAATTCTTCCCGGTTTGACTTGGCACGCCTATTAAGAAAGTGGAATAAAGTGGAAATGTGTGGTTGTGGTTGTGTGAGAAAAAAGTAAAATCAATGTAAGCCACACAAATTGTCCAAAAAAGGAAAGTGAGAAGAATTTTTGGGAACGGCCCAAACAGGAAAGTGGGAAGTATTTTTGGAAACGGAGGGAGTATCACTTTAAAATAACTTTTCTTATACTCCGTATTGTTTATGTTGTAAATGCATATTATGACTTAATATGTGTTTTTAGAATTTAAATTTAATGGATCTATACTAAAGTGCATTTTTAGATGGTGCACAATATACTAAAGTGAATTAATTTTATAATTAATAAATATAAATCTATTTCAAACTTTTTGAAATAAACACTGACACACACATATTAGAAATTATGCTTATAATGTGTGAGATAAGTTGATAAAAATAATGATATCAAATAATTTGTGATCATTTGTGTTCATTCATATCAGAAAATACGAAGAATGTCTTAAAAATAAAAATAAAAATACAAATTAAGGATAAAAATCTGATATTTTATACAAACTGATTATCTTAGGCCCAGTATGATATCGAGTTTTCAGTTTTTTGAAACTATTTTAGTGTTGGTGTTGATTCATTTTGACCTTTGGATTTTTGTGTAAGCAAAGATGTTTTTTTTGTAATTTGCTGGTCTGGTCTGGTCTAGTCTGAACTGGTCTGGTAAGGTCTGGTTTCTTTGTATTTTTATAACTATTCAAGTCTGGTCTGATCTGAACTGGTCTGGGACAAATTACAGTCCAAGTAAAAATATCCTAATAACTTCGTACAAAACAGGACTACGTATTTTGTCTTTGTCATTTTTTTCGTTGGAAAACAAAACGAAGTGATACTGAATGGAGCCTTACTAACTTTTCATTTTTTGATTTATCTTTCATTCTATCACATTATTTCACTATCTTCCCATCATACCCTCAATAATTCATATCCTCTTTCACTATTCTTAATCTCACCCACTTTGGAAGTGAGAAGATATATGTGACACGGAGGGAGTATATTTCAATCTTATAATATTGTGATAGTTATGCACATAAAATCTTGGTAAAATTTTGATGTATAAATTTTATTTAGTAATTTAGAAAGACGACTTCTTTTAACAATTTTTGCAACAATTATTTGATTTCAGATTTAGATAGTAATAAAATATATGGAGATCTGTATCATACCGTTCAGACCAAATAAAAAAATACTGATCCAATTAAAATTAATAGGATCCAAACAGATTTTAATTTTTCTAGGAAGCAAACTCTGTAGATTTAGCAGTTTCAGTATATATTTCGTCAATTTATTGAATTGAAATTCTTCAATGTGCGATCCAAATTCACGGCAACCTATTTGTTCGATCTGAATTGAAAGCAAAATTGGACAAATGTCTTGCATTGCATTGCAAAATTGGAGAAAGGCTAATCGTAGCTTCCATTTCTGAAGCTATGAAACAAGGACTCAGAAGCACTTTTGTCAAGTAAGACCAAATTTTGGGACGAAAAGGTAGACAGCAACGCCAATCCGAGATCCATCCAATGGAGGATCCGTATGAACGATCTCCACATCGAATACCTTCTTAGCCTTCTTGAAGAATCCCGATTCCTTCTTCCATCTCCTCAGGTGCGCCATCACGAAGGCCGTCCTCCTTTCCCTTTCCCCGCGCCCTAACAGGAAGAATCTCAGCGTTTTCAGCAGCGGCTCATACAGATGATCGTGATACACCACGTCAGATCCGAGTATCAGATCGTACTCTCTCCCGACGGCTTCCATGTCCTCAGTTTCTCCCCACGATAGCGCCGCCGCTTCAACAGCGCCGCCGCGCTTTTGCAGAACTTCCGAGTTCAAGTCAACGTTGAATTGGATGTTGGGGAGGACGTGAGGGAGGTCTGTGACGGTGACTCTGGCGCCGAGTATCGCCGCGGCGGCTATTCCGGTGACACCGGTGCCGGAACCGAGCTCGAGTATTCGGAGACGGTAACCCGCCTCTTGACGCGCGAACAAGGCGGAGAGGGTGGGGTGAACTTGGCGGCGGGTATCGAGGAGGTTGACGAGAGTGGCGGCGGCGGGCCAGAGCTGGAAGGAGAGGCCTTGGGAAGGGAGCTGCCTGATGAGAATGGTTGAGTGGATCGATTGGAGATTGTAGCGTTGGTGTTGGAGAGACACCGATTCCTGCAATTCTTCTTCTTCTTCTTCCCGTGGGAGCAGCATCGTGAAAGGATTGACCTCATCATCGGAATGTTCTACGTCATGTGGGCTACTCCAATCAGTCATGGTTGCTCCGGCCAACGGCGGGGCGTTCATAAATTTTCAAATGTTTCGTATTTCAGGCGGAACCCTTACGGCGGCCTTTATCACTTGTGTTGTTGATTCAGACGAGGAAAGAGGGAGATTGAGGTGCAACTGTAAAAGTGAGCATTTGGAGATTTAGGATGTTTTTTTTACCGTTTTCGGTCCTAGACCAGATCTGACTTCCGCAGGTATAAATTACACACAGATCAGACATTTACTAGACTAGACCAAACCGGTTCAGACCAAACTAGACCAGATAAGACCAATGGACCAGACTAGCAAATTTCAGTCCAAAAGAAACATCCTTAGTCTTTTTTGAAAGAAAGTTGTTTCTATTATACTATCGTATATAATCAGATTTCAGTCAAATTACACAATAAAAAGATCTCTCCAAAATTAGTATAACTCGCTGATTCTAAAAATGATCACAATTAGACTTGGAATCAATCACTAACCAAAAAGTAATATAACTCTCTGATTCTAAAATGAGTATAATTGAGTCATAGATGGTCGAAACATACTTCCCTAAACAGTAGAGTACTACTAGTAGCAAACAAAAACACAATAAAACATCCAATTCATAATGAAAAACTAAAATTAAAACACAAACATTTAGATGAAGATGCTTCCCCATAACAGTGAGAAGCTTAAGCTTGTAGCTTTAATGAAAGAATTTCTTCACAGACCAGGCTGGCCTGGTAACTAGCACCCGCTTTCACCATGTATATCTCCTCGTCAGTACCCTACCTGTCCAACTGTCATTGTCCCGGAGCGACCAACCAAGGCTGCACGTTTCATGAGCAATACAAACTCCCGTTCATCCATCATTGTTAACTCTTTTGACGTTCCAACCACATATTGATAGGGGTGAAGGAAATTCTAACACCTACAAGAGGGAAACGGCTGCTAGGTCAAGAGAGAGCACAAAGTTTACGGAGGAGCGTTAAGCAAATCTGTTAAGATTTTCACATATTAGTCTTAGGATGTTTGCATTTTTCTTAAGATCTCTTATTATGAATTCTTCTCCCGCGACCTTATCTTTTAAAAAGGACATGGAGATGTTTCAAAGAATCAAGTTTTATAAGAAAAGAGAAGTTACCAATTTGCATTTGACCTTATATCCTTCAAACGTAGTACTTCCGACTTCGTATGTATTATTTTTGTATTATGTAAAGTCAACTTCCCTATGGATAAGGGGTTCTTTGAAGAAACTTGGATTGTGTGCTCACTGCTCAGCCAAGGAAAAGAAGACCAAACGAGTGGATTGCGAAATCCCATGGCCTGATGGAGGGTGTCCTTGGGCATTGGGTGTAAGATTTCTGAGTACTATATACGGAGTATAAAATATAAGCCACAATGTCATGTACTACGTACTTCACAGCATTCACACTAATATTGTTAAATTTACGCTTCATACACTTTAATCATGTCAAAAAGTGTTAATGAGTAATTGAACTGAGTAATTGAACACGAAGGCACAAAGTGTAATTGCCACCTTATTCAGCCTCTTACGAGCCTTACGACGTACTTCCACTTTCAATTAGTACAAACTTTGCATTGGATTCCTTGAAGTACAGTATTTTAACTATATATTGACGATTAATTTGGGAAATTAGTATTTGATACTCCCTCCTGTTCTTACGTAAGTTATACGTATCGATAAAATAAAGACACCTTGTGCATAATTGTTCTCATAGCTAACCGATTATTATTTTTGACAAGATTTAGCTAACCAATAAAGTATCCTGCTCATATATACTTCACTTTCGTTTCCGCTTTTAATTCTCATAAATCAATGGGGGGTATGAATGTATGATTGTCAAATTATCACACATAACTTATATAACCTTCAAAGTCATGGATACTTAATTGAGAATAGATGGATTCTCAGCAATTGCATTGCATGCATCATCATCATTCAAACTGGTTGGGGTTGGTGACTTAGTGGCACAAATAACACTAAAATGTCAATGAATTGCAGTAACTTACTCGATGCATCTTATGATGTAGATGCACTCAACTAAGGGGATTGGGGACATAGTTCTCCATATAAACTCTTAACCTCCTGTAACTAATGCATCACGGAATCCCAGGGATGCTCAAACTGGGAATAAGCGCGCTGATTTTCATTTCCTGTTAAAGTAACCTGGTCAATACTGGATCAGCTTGAGTTAATGATTTTTGAAGTCTTCAATGACCACATGTGCAGCATTGCGTCCAGGGGCTGCCATTACTCCCCCGCCAGGATGGGCCCCACTCCCGCACAAATATAAACCTTGAAGTGGAGTTCTATAATTTGACCTGGGCATTGTTAACGTTTTTCAATAAGACAACCATGCATGTAACCAGTCACTAATAACTAGCGTTTATTTGAAACAAATGTGTGGTAAACCAATGTTATGAAATCTTCATTTGATCTTACCATCCTTTTACTGGTCTCATGAGAAACAAAGAATCTAACCCCATTGAACCGTGGAATATGTTCCCTCCTGTCAAAAGTGAAAGAAATGCACGAATGTAAGACTCACTTGGTGTCACACTGAAACTAGCGAAACATTTGTTTGTGCATTGAAATCTCTGCACAACAGCGAAATAAGGTTTTGGCAATGAACATGTATATTTGGTAGGGAAAATGGAAACTAATAATCCAACCTTTTAGCAGTCTTCTTACAATAGTCCCACCTTTTGATTATTCATGAATAATCCCACCTTTGCACCTCATCTTCATTCACTGGTCCCTGACCGGTTGATGACCTACTATTCCAAGTTATTTTCTTATCTTTGCAAACTATTATACCATAAATCTCACCTTTCACAAAGATAATATTTTGCAAAGATAAGAAAATAACTTGGAATAGCAGGTCATCAACCGGTCAGGGAGCAGTGAATGAAGATGAGGTGCAAAGGTTGGATTATTCATGAATAATCAAAAGGTGGGACTATTGTAAGAAAACCGCTAAAAGGTTGGATTATTAGTTTCCATTTTCCCTATTTGGTAAAGGGTACTTGGTTAATGACCGAATCAGCTGATATTTCGTGAAAGAAGAACAATCATAATATCAGCTAAATCAGTCAAAGCTACTTATTCTGCCAAAAGCAACATGAGAGAATAAAGTGTATTACCAAATGGAGACAAAATATCCATGTACTACGTATATTAACAATACAATATGGTGAAACATAAAAAATATGTAGTATAAAATATTCATTTCATATTATGTCTCTTACTTACACATCTGAAATCCTTTTTGGTAACCATGTCAACAAATAATCTTGTTCATTCCAAAACTCGGTAGTAATAACCTGGTTTACCCTACTCGGTACCCTAACTTTGTTTGACCGACTTTATATCAAACACACTAAAACACTCGATAACAAGAATGTAGATGCCAGTTATACCAACATTCAGTTCCCAACTTAGCTCTAAAACTGCTATAATCTATTCGAATCGTGTTCATGTAAACTACTCATGAATATAAATTCAGAAAATTTCCAAGTGTACAAATACAACTAAATTTTACAGGTTGTGAGTTGGTGGATTATAAACCATATATGGACATGCCAAACTTATCTTCCGAAAATGGAGGGAACTCTGACCCTAAAACATGAGATTTCCATACGCAGGTCATGCAAAAAGGAAGTAGCGGAGACTAAAACCAATTATTCCCTCCGTCCAAAAATTCTTATTTTTGGATAGAATGGAAATAATCGTCCAAAAATGATTGATATTATAAAAATGTGCATATCTTAAAGAACCTTGCAGAATGATTGAAGCTAATGAAAAAATAAGCTTTATGCACAAACACATTTTAATGTAGGAAGAGTTAATGAAAAAAAATGTTATTCACAAAATGGCAATTATTGTGGAAAAAGAGTTTTGCGAAAATGACATTTAATTTGAGAGAGGGAGTGAGAATTATTAGTGAACTGGATGACCATTAATTTACTGTCCAAGAGTGAAGGATTGAGTTTACTAAAGAAAATTGGAGTTGATAAGTAATTCCAATTCACACTCCAGCTAAAGTCATGACATATCTTCACACCTATAACCTGATTTCTGAGGTTATTATAGCTACGTAGTATTTAACTGAGCTCAGATAACTAGATAAGCATGCACATGATACCTGTCAGGCCAATCTCTCTTTCAAGATCTGGTGGAGTAAGCATGTCATAACCAATAATAGACGAGCTGAATCCAGGAGCATATTCGTCTATTAGGCTGAAGCATCTCTTTGCAAATGCTTCCTGCAGAAATGATTCACACTCATATCATAGAGTCTTGTACTAACCGGCATACTGTACAAGTTTCTAAAGTATTGGTTTTAAAAAAAGATGAAATATGGCTGAGAGTTTTGCGATTGATATCATTCTTACTCTGTACGTAGGATCTTCCCAGCTTCCATCTGACGGTTTGTATGGTGTGTACTGGATAAATAAACCAACAACATGCTTTCCTGTGAAGAGGAATGAAACTAAAAGTTCAGTTTTAGCAGCAATGTGCGTATGATGACCGGAGTGCCTGAATCCATTAAGAACAATATGCTACGGGCTTTATGTGATAAATGAGGTATTATTCCAAACCACTTTATAAAGTCAAACATTTAAGAATATTTATGGGAGTAATCTTATGGTACAAGGTGTGGTAGATTCAATCTTGAGTACAAAAATGACATCAAAAGCCATACAACTTGAAAATCACAAAAAGAATATTACTACCTCCGTCCCGGCTTAAGCTTTTCATTGAAAAATGGCACAGTTATTTAGACAATAATTAAATATTAAACGAGGTTAGTTATGTATATTTTGAGAAGTAGTTTTGATGGGTAATTAATATAATGAGGTCATTTATGATAAATGTGATGTTATAGGCGTATTATTTTAAATATTTAATGATTAAATTGTAATTTAAGAGTGCTAATTATTTCCTAAAATATAAATGAGAACCTTTAACTGGGACATCTAAAAGAAAAGAGGTAAGTGAGAAGCTTAAGCTGGGACAGAGGGAGTAATACACACACGCACAATAAAGTTATCCTCGTCCTACACTTTATCCAACATTTTGTCACATCTATATCGCTCATATGCCTGAATAAACAAAATTAACATGGTTTAAGTGAAATAATAAATAGCATTCAAGGTGGATCAATCTTGCTCTTAATTATTTTTTGTCCCAATAAACTTATGACGCACTAGTGCAACATAGAGACACTGAAAGATTATAATAAATAACAAAAGTTGGTGCACCCAGAAAAAACACAAGCTATTCACTGACATATTATTGAAGATATCAAAAATCACCAGGAGGAGAAATGGTTTTGTCAAAGACAGAAGGTATCGTCATCTCAATAATAGGTCTTTGAGACGGTAATCCATTTTCAGAATCCTGTGCAGCAGAGGCCATGTCCTTGAAACTGCAATAACATGAAGGACCATAAATGTACTTCGTATATTTTATTCATGAGCTAGAACATTCTACGTTATGGCTTGAAACAAAGTTGGGAAATTATGAATTTATGACTCAAGCAAACAAATAACACGCAAGTCGACGTGTGAAACTTTACGAAACACCAAAATCATGTGACCAGTGTCATGACAACTGCAGTTTTAACAGTCTTACAGACAGGACAGAAAGGAGCAAAAATATTTTGTTGAGAGAGATCTCTATGCTGTGGACACACTTTCAGTGGTCTTGTTAGCAACACAAGTAAATATTGTGAAGCACAACACATTCATGATGTTCAATGTTGAATTCCTCTAAAATCACCAGCCAATCTAACTTTTGATTAAAATGGCTATTGGCCAACCATGTTTAAGAATATATCATGATGACTGATAGAGGATTTCAATTCAAACTAGAGTACAGAACTATCATTGTAGTTTCTCAATATATATGAAAATCAATGACAGATATTTTACTAAATCAAAGCATTGGTAGCAATTAAATCACGTGAATATAAATCTGAAAATGAATAAAAAGAGTACTGGTATAGTGGCATACTTCTCACAGCCAATGTGAATGGAGCCACAATGTTGAGGCCCGGCATCAGGATATCCTAAATTGCAACACTGGAACTGTGGGATTCTGTCAATCGCCAAATTGATTTTGGTAGTTGCCTGCCTCATCAACCAATTCTTGTTATACTTCATGTTAAAGAATGTCAACAAATGATATCACAAAACAAATAGAAACAGTTATTGTGGTCCACAATGACATTGATGGATGTGATTGTCAATGGTGACTGTGATCACCAGTAGGTGGGTTGCGATAGTAACAAATCCTAACAATATTTGCACGCCGTGGAGGTGAATATCGACAATGTCAGTGCTTATCAGAGACGGATGTAGTTATCTGTGGCAACAATGGACCAATGGTCGCCAACGATTACCAGCATTGACAGTGGTTCTCGGTGGTTGATAGCAATGGTGTCAGGAGATGACAATGGTTTCGGGCATTGGCGGTGATTACTTGTGATTGGGATGTACTCATGTAAATAGCTGTAAGAACTAGAAAGGACGGTGGTTTGCATTAGCGGAAATGGCGGTGGTAGTTCTACTGTGGCATTGGTTACTGGTGGTGACATAAAATGTTCTTTATTCCTAGTGGTGGAGGTGGTTTCCGATTGCAACCTCTGAAGCCCGCCATTTCCAAATGTAGTGATGGTCTCTATGGTGGTGGTTGTCAGCGGGAAGCCGGGAAATGGTGCCGAAGGTGGTAGATAGTGGTTTCATTAGACATTAATGGAAAAGGTGGTCACCATAGAGTTGTCTTCGGTTTGCAATCACTGATAGGTTCAAAAGTTGAAAACATATTTTTATATTTTGGAAAACACAAACAAAAGTTCCACATTTGGGATAGTAGAGAACAGTTGAAAGATGTTTTCTGTTTTCTGAATTTGGGAGAGTAATCATGCTTTATGTTTTTCATCCTTCCATTTTCAGGTTTCCAAGAACATGAAAAATCTTTCCAGCTAGTAAACAACCCTTAGTTTTAAAATGTTCTCTTATTGAAATGCATTAGCATGCAGATAAATATTTGAAACCTTACATGCTTCAAATTATACAAGCAGAAAAAAGGCGGGGTCAATGATCAAGTTGAACCATCCAAGCTAAAGAGGTAATGTTTGAACCTTTTTCTTTGTCCTTTGAAATGGAGTGCAGTACACTTTGTGATAAATAAAATCAGATGTAACAAGCTGATATAAACTTACAGAGCTGTAATCAGATAGCTTTATTGCCCGGAGGAAATCTTCAGGAAGCACATCTTCTGGTACAAGATCCTGTGCAATACAAAAACTATCACTTTGAACAATACAATCAGTTAGGTTGTAACTTGTAAGATGTCAAAAGCTTTCCTAGCAGGAATCTCAAACTTGAATCTAAATGGAGCTAGAAAAAATTATACCACAAAAGTCTTGTAAGGGGTTGCATTTGACAAGACTGCTGAAGAATAAACAGGTGTTCCATCAGCCAACAACACCTAGACAATGCCAGTCATATCGTATTCATAAGCTCAACTCACAAAGGAAAACAAACCTAAGAAGGGATAGAATGAAAGAACACTGAGAGCAACACCAAGAGCATTTGTAAAGGGTAAAAAGATCTAGAAATTGCTAAGGGAGACATGTTTTCCATCACCAAACAGAATCTCCAATAAATATGCCGATCAGGAATCAGAATAATAATTTTTCAATATAACCCGGCCTAGTTACAAGTGGAAGAAAGAAGACGAAAATACATAAATTTAATTAGGAAAAATAGGAAAGAGAAAGTACTGAAAGTCTTAAATATTTATTCACTGATAAAAATAGATAGTATTGACTGGAGTTGTATTTGACAAAATTGTTAGTTAAAATGGATATCAAATAAGTTGGAGAAAAAAAGGGGAGCATTGATGGAGATGGTCTAACCCCAGTTACTCTACCAGTATTGTCAACTATCAACTTTGAGACCTGCATGATAAAACAAAAGAAAAACTCACAAATTAGATAACCCAGAGTGTTATAAGGTCACCATCAGTTTCCCCCCATCACATGATGTAGCAAGACATATAAGATGCATTTCATGATTTCATCTTTTCTATAAGAAGGAATTCAAATTTTAGTAGCATTTTTCTAGAATTTGTCTGTTCGGCCAAGCAAATAAGCACTCATGACTCAACAAACAAGTAAAACTTCATTATTGTAATATCAAAGATGATATATCCAGCTGAAGCAATAATCTGCAAATACCTCTGCACCGGTCAGTATGGTTGCCCCAGCTTCTCTAGCAGCACCAGCCATGGCCAATGACACTGAGCCCATTCCTCCTTCAACATACCTATAAGTCAAATAGCGGATACCATTTATTTAAATGAGTAATAGCAGAAAATATTACAAACCATACTTTCACTTATACTTGGAGTCTGTCCAAAATTAAAACCAAGAAATGGTAGTGAAATGCAAAAGACTCAAATAGGTTTCAACGTTTTTAGTAAGTATATGAAATTTAATAAATAAATGTCTATGCTCGTGGTGTGTTGAATACATATGATCAAAGAAAAATCTTAAACCCCAAGCATGATACATGTTTGACATAATCTTCTTGTGCAGTTATGTTGTCTTGTCTCCAAAAATACGTACGACCAAATACCACGGTCACCATCAGTTTCCCCCATCACATGATGTAGCAAGACATATCCACTTCCAGGTGTATGCACACTTGCCTGTGATTGAACATTTAAAACTGTCATGTTGATTTTTTTTACATAACTGACATTTAAAACACATGACCTGACATTTAAAACAACTAAATATTTCAATAAATTATAGCAGCAGTAAGGCTGAAATCAAATTATCTCCAATAACACGTTTACATTTCAGGTCTAAAGAATGGGTGCATATCCTAATCCACCAAGTATATTGCGCCCAAACAAAGACGTGGGAACATACAAGTATACAACAACAACGACAACATCCAAGCCTTATTCCCAAAAGATTTTGGGGTCGGTTAACATGAATCGATCCATGATATCAAAGACAAAAGATAAGAAAGATAAGAAATATAAAAAGCTAAGGTAAGATAAAATGGATAAGATAAAGATAAATACTTCGTATAAGATAAAAATAACATAGGAACATATAAGAAAGATAAAGAATGAAAATATTAAAAAATCAGAAAGATAAAAGATAAAAGTAACATAAGAAAAAGAGAGAGACAAGAGATCAATCATCCACACGCAATATGCGCCCCCCACTTTGCTCTCCCCAAAGCCATACTTTCATCCAACCCAAGAAGAAGCATATCAAAGACGTAGGAACATAACTGGAACTATTTCATGACAGAATATATATTCAGTAAAATCATTATACGCTGTTCATATACCTAAACCAAATAGAATAGAATATGGACTTTTATTCATGAAATTGAATTAGCTAGCGCTACAAACCGTAAGACTTGGTGCACATTGTTCTAAAGAAGATAATGAAATAACTTACTGTGGTCCCTATAACTGCATCAGTTCCTAGAGTTGCTTTCAGAATATCACTCTGCAAGTATGAAGTGACACTGAGTTAGAAAGCTGTGAACATTCCGAGGATGTATTACAGAACTGAAATATCTGAAAGAAGCTAGCGACAGAAAGAGCATTCCTTTTTTGCATTGATTTATAGCATTAACTAACTTTAGACGATTAACTGAAAAAATACATGGCATGCCACAGGCCCAAATAGTTATGCTTAAGGTGATGATGATGTCAAAACAAACAATTTCACTGGGAAAATATATGTCATGTGAATAATCTAATATAAAAAGCATTCAAACTGGACCTTGGAAAAGTCGAGTAATAATACAATGCAGTTTGTAACTTTTAACATAAACAGGTGAAATATAGAGCCAAGTATAGCTACCTCAAACCAGTTATTTAGAATCTTGGATGCTGGAGAGAGTAAAAGATCCATAAAATTCCTGAAATTAAGTCAAACCAAGTTAATAAGCAACTGCATGGTTGGTCTCAAGGAAAATCTTAAATTCAGATTATGATTATGAACTCTTACATCATATCGTTTTGTCCCAATGGAAGTGCACGTCGTAGACAGCGAGACCAAAATGCTGATCTTTCTATCTTATTATGAAGTCGGTCATTAAAAGATGAATTTCCTTGAAGAGTCTCAGGTGTAGAAGAATCTAAAATTGGATCCAAAAATTTGCAAAATTTGTCCAGCTGATTTTCGTATCTACAGATCAGATATCCAGAATACACAAAAATAAAAGTAATTAAACTGATAATCATTCTAATCTTCCACTCGACTTAAGTACTAAACTAAACATTGCACACTACTACTGGTGAAAAAAAGATCTTGTATCCGCTTCAGCCAATGATCAATCAGAATGAAAACTTTTTTAGCTTATAACCCGAACAGTTTTCACAAAGAAGCCCAGAATAGACACGCTTATCACTTTAGGCCATGCATAAAGAGAAACCATGCCTGGGAAAAGTCTTGGCATCACGTTCTGAGAACTTAGAAATTTCGGAATAGTTATGTTGTTTATCGCTACCAAGCAGGAGATAGCGTCCATCGCGACATGGCGTGAAAGATGACGGATTTCTCTTCAATAGCTTTAACCCGTGTCTCTTCAGCTCTAGTTCTCTATTAATCCAGTAAAAACAAAACCGCACTAAGAAAACCAGGAATTGAACAAAGCATTGACGATAAACTATGCATATACATTGTCTATTTGTAATTTGTCTATGCTAGAAATAGACTGCGATTGCTGCATTACAGTATTAGTACGAATTTGTGATAATGATCTTGTGCAATAAAGGGAAGAGAGTTACTTGATGACACAGGGGCGGAGGAGACTTTGAAGGTAACTACAACGGGAGAATTTGAAGCCGGGAACAATCTCCTCGGTGACGGCAGCACCGCCGATGATGTGGCGTCTCTCGAGAACGGCGACGGAGAGGCCGGAGCGAGCGAGGTATGCGGCGGCAGTTAAGCCATTATGGCCACCGCCAATCACCAGAGCGTCCCATTTCTTGTCCTTCAACAAGAGGTCGGAGTTGGCAGTAGAAGTGGTGCTGCTCACTCTCCTACACTGTCGCCACATTCTCTGGAAATAGCTCACACTTCACTAAATTTACTCCGCAGTCCACAGTCTCTCGAGCTATCGTAAAGATATGGTGATACAAAAAAGATGTCGAAAATGACAGCGCACCTACACTTGGTACTTCGTACAGTGTAATAATTGGCATCTCAATAGGCATCGTCACTGTCTATGTGACGGATGGTGGATGACTGGAATTGTTCTACACAGGGGCGGAGGCAAGGGGTCAGGATGGTCAGTCGACCCCGTTGAAAAGTTCAAGACTGTAGAGCTCTGAAATACTTTCGATTTGATATATTATGGGTCCTGGAAAAATCAGCATCATCTTAACTTCAAATAAGCAAATTTTGATGTATAACTTGATTATATTAAATTTAAAAATTAAACACCTTATTCAATCATTAGTTGGGTGAACATTATGATACATTACATATATATCAATACATTAAGTAAAAAAGACTCATTAAATTACCATTTATCTCAACTACATATGAAACATTTAATTCATGTATTGTATAATAACTATTCATCATTTTGATACTGTGTATAATTAAACTCCGACCCCCCTCACACACTTTTCTGGCTCCGCCCCTGGTTCTACATGAGAAATTGAGAATGAACGTTTTTTTGGCAAAGAGAATGAAAGCTTTTCTAAAGAAATAAAGTGAAATAAACTTTTATCAGCAACTCTTTTACCAAATAACTAACTTTTTCTTTCGCGCGTTGAATTGCGTAATAAGCAGCGAAAGTAAGGTTGAAGTTACTTTTCTGGCTGTATTGGCTGAAGTTATTGTAGATGACCATTTTAACTATTTTTACATCTACTCCCTCTGTCCCAAAAACAACTTCCCACTTTCCTTAAATTGATGTCCCAAAATTAACTTCACACTTCAATACTTTTCTTATTTGGCAAATTATCTCCATCAAAAAAGTGATAAACAGTGTCAAACAGTGTTTAAGCAGTGTTTAAACAGTGCCAAACAGTGTTTAAACAGTGCACTCTACAGTAAAGTCAAATTTATTTTCTAAAAGTGTGTGAAAGTCAAAACGGGAGGTTGTTTTCGGGACGGAGGGAGTATTTTTTTTCCTTGAAACGGCAGAATCAGCAAATGCAGCCACTTCAGCCAGAAGTTCATAAATTTCAGCAGGATCAGCCAAATCAACCGATTTTCGTGCTACCAAACGGGCTCTTAGTGGTGATTTTTGAGTAATTTTTTAGTCATATTTGAACAGTTCATATCAGACTAGTTCATATAAGACTATATCATACCAGAAAATTTAAGTCCAATTAAAAACATCCGTGTTTTCATTGTTCAGTGTTCTACTTTGGATGTTTTTACTTAGACTGTTTCCAGACCAGAACAAACCAAATCAGACTTGGACAATTATAAAATACACAAAGACCATACATTTACCAAACCAGACCAGAAAAATTCCAGTCCAAGTAAAAACATTCTTAATGCATACTCTATATACAATATATACTCTCTACGGCCCTGAAAAATTCGTCCAACTTTTGGATGTTCCAATTTTTTTCTCATTTCCTTAAATTTTGTTATATTTCATTTACTCGTACTTTTTCTTACTCAACCACAAGGTCCATAATTATATACTTTCACTTTATTCACATTTTGTTTTATCATTTTATTCACACTTTCTTGATAAGCATGTTAAGTCAAAACGGAAAGAATTGTTTGGGATGGAGGAGTACTAATTAAGGAATATAATATTATAATTACATAGATCAAAGATAAATGGATAAGAATGGTGTGTTTTAGCATTCATGGTAAATCAAATGCTCATTGCTAACAATGGTCAAGAGTTAATTTTTTTTTTTAAGAAACCTTGCCAACATAATAAAATAAATCAAGTTCTACCAGAGATAATATTTCATCACGCGGATTTGTCACAAATATCTGTTCGGACCCATCATTGGGAACCATTATAGCTATCATATGTGCAACTGCATTCCCATTCCTTTTCACATGAGAAAATGTCAGCTTAACAAATTCATATTTCATAATGCATATATAATCAAGGAAAAGCCCAAGAGCAGCCCGAACTTCCCTCTCTGACTCCGCTGCAGTTATGAAATTCATAGCGTCACTTTGAATCATAACCTTCTGCAACCTTATCTGGTATGCCAAACGTAGGCTAAACGATGCCGCTGCAAATTCAGCCATACCTGGTTCCCTGTTAACATCCATTCTCTTGACACCTGCAGCCAACACTTGACCATTTTCATCTCGTAAGGCAGCCCCGAGACAAACATCCCCTTCTTTGAAAGTTGTTACGTCACAATTCACTTTGATGAAGCTTGGTGGAGGTTTGAGTCATTTCTCGAATCTAAGACCAATGGATAAATTTGATACCTTATACACTTTAGCGGCATATCTCTGGTATTCCTCTACGTATTGATGAAATCCCGCATGAATCATCTCTATCTTTGGTTCACTCGGTTCAAAACAGCTTTATTTCTGCATCTCCAGGCCACCCAACAATTGGTAATGAAATTATATAGTTCATCCCTCATATTCTCCATAACCCAGGCCACTACATTAGCCACAGAAGAGATAGGATCCACCTCAAACAATCTTCTCCATACTTCAGGCTCTTATGATCGGTGAAAATGTGACATGTCTCCCCATAGAGATAATGCCTCCAAATCTTCAGTGCAAACACTACTGCTCCCAACTCTAGATCGTGGGTAGGGTAGTTCGCCTCGTGTTTCTTCAATTGTCTAGACGCATAGGCAATCACCCGACCGTTTTGCATTAGTACACATCCAAGCCCTTGGATGCTAGCATCACTGTATATGTCATACCCTATCCCTTGTGTGGGTAGAGCAAGAACCGGTGCCTCTATAAGCCGTTTCTTTAGTTCGAGAAAACCTTTCTCACAATTGTCGTCCCATGTGAACTTGGCCCCTTTCTTTGTGAGCTTTGTCAATGGAGACGCCAATACGGAAATTTTTTCAACAAACTTACGATAGTATCCCGCTAGGCCAAGGAAACTACGTATCTCTTTCACATTTTTGGGCCTCTCCCAATTCATAATGGCTTCTATCTTGGCCTTATCCACTGCAATGCCCGAACCCGACACGACATGCCCGAGAAACCCAATCTCTTTGAGCCAAAACTCGCATTTCGAGAACTTTGCAAAGAATTGTTTTTCCCTTAGCCGTTCGAGTACAAGTCTCAAATGGTCTTCGTGCTCCTCTTCACTTTTGGAGTATACTAGAATATCGTCAATGAATACTATCACAAATTGATCTAAGTATTCACTAAACACACGGTTCATCATGTCCATGAACGCCGCCGGTGCATTGGTTAGACCAAATGACATCACCAAAAACTCGTAGTGTCCATATCTAGTGCGAAATGCACTCTTAGGTATGTCACCCTCCTTTATCTTCAACTGATGATACCCCGACCTTAAATCAATCTTCAAGAATATTGTTGCCCCTCGAAGTTGATCAAACAAGTCATCAATCCTCGGTAAAGGATACATGTTCTTGATCGTGACCTTGTTCAACTGTCGGTAGTCTATACACATTCTTAGTGTACCATCTTTCTTCTTTACGAAGAGTACGGGTGCTCCCCACGGTGAATGACTGTGTCTAATGAACCCGTTGTCCAATAGCTCTTGAAGTTGAACCTTCAACTCTTGAAGCTCGGCCGGTGCCATTCGATAAGGAGGAATCGAAATGGGTTTGGTTCCCGGCTCCACTTCAATCACGAATTCGATCTCTCTGTCAGGTGGAAGCCCCGACAAGTCTTTGGGAAAGACATCCGGATATTTGCACACGACACGTACATCGTTGATGTCAACCTCCTTCTTTGCTTCATCCACCACATAAGCAAGGTATGCGTGGCATCCCTTCTTCATCATCTTTCGTGCCCTCATCACGGATATTATACAACTATGAGACCCTCCCTGATCTCCCTCGAAACGTAGAGTGTTTCCCTCAGCATCCTCGAGTTCCAAAACCTTGGTATAACAATCCACTCGAGCATGATGTTTCTCGAGCCAATCCATCCCAAGAATTGCATCGAATTCCAACATACTTAGAGGTACGAAGTCACAAGTCAAAGGTTGACCCGTCACTTCTACCTCACATGAAGGGTAGTAATATTTCCTCTCCACATCGTCTCCTAACGGTGTAGAGACCAACAAGGGTTGTGTCATTACTATCAACGGCACGTCTAAACTCTCGGCAAACGCTTCACTCACGAATGAACGTTGTGCCCCGGTATCAATGAGAATCCTTGCGTTTCTACCATTGATCTTTAATGTTCCTACATATATAAGTGATGTAAGACACACTAGTCAACGTACCGGATCGAAACGGGGCTAAACGAAAATTTTTCGGGTAAAAATACACTGGACCGGCGCCGGGTATGGACCTGGCCGGCGCCGGGTAAGCTACTGGAATCGGAAAAGGGGAAAGTTGCACCGGACCGGCACCGGGTATGGCCCGGACCGGCGCCGGGTATCCCCTGGAGCGAAAAACCGGAAAATTCTCCCCGGACCGGCGCCGGGTTGCCCCCCTGGCCGGCGCCGGGTAAGCCACTGGATAGCACTTCTGGAAAATTTTTCTGGGCCGGCGCCGGGTTGCCCCCTGGCCGGCGCCGGGTAAGCTACTGCCAGCTTCGTTTTGGCTACGTTTTACGCTAGGCCGGCGCCGGTTCAAGCCCGGGCCGGCGCCGGTTCGTCCCTGGGCGTGTTTAACTCATTTTTTTCCGCTAAAAACGAGCCGAAACCTCACCGGTTGACCCGCACATGCTCCCTAAAGCTTATAATACACATGTATATGAATAATACAAGAGTGAACCGGGGATCACCTGCAACGGAGTCGGGGTTGGCTCGAGCATTGGCCTCGGTCATTGCGTAGACTATAGCTTGAGTCCTTCCTTGATTCACGGACGGCGCGTTGCTTGTGCTCGCTCCCCCTTGTCTCGTACTAGCATGGGGTGCTCCGGTTCGATTCCTACTCGCCGTAGTAGCGCCGCTTGATCCCGCCCCTCGGTTCCCACCAAGTTGAGGGCAATTTGGCTTGATATGCCCCGTGTCTCCACATTGGTAGCACCGAGGAGGGTCACGACACTTTCCCCCATGGTTCCGGTTACAGTTCCTGCACCTAATCACCATTGAGGCT